ACACAGGAGGAATTCAAGAGCAAAGTTCCCTTTAGTTTAACAAATCTCAATTTGACACCCACAAGCACAAGAAATTCACCTGAAACAATTCCTGGTCTCCTAGGGAAATGAAAAGGAGATGGAATGGGTGTCAGCCACCTACTCTTGGCTCTCGATCCCTTGGGGTCATTCTACTAATTTCTTATTGCAAAACATTGCCTAATGCCTAACTGCCAATTGTCACAGGGAACCGGAATTACGACCCATTTATTTTTTCAGTGCAAGGAGAAGCAAACACAGCACTGAGCTCTGTCTATCTGTAGTGCCTTACATGGAAGAGTTAAATTAGGTATAAATAGCCTTTTCCTGTACAGGAGTGTCTATACAGCAGTCAGCTTTTGAGCAGATTCACATACACTGTGAACAGATAAAAAACGGCAATGAGACATAACAGCTTTCAAGAAGTGCCACTCTGGTTTTGCCTTCCCAATACACACCCTACTGCAGACACAGACTGGAAATAACACTTGGCATGGCCTCAAAGAGAAGGTATCACACAGTCACAGAAATTTTGGGAACCACTCTTTCCAGGTATGCTTCCTTCCTGTTTGGTACTAACTATTCCAGTGACTCTGAGGGGATATCCTACAGGAGTTTGCAGCCTGCCTTTCTTGTAACGCCTTTCTTATCAGACTACCAGAACATTGTATGTCCCTGGCAGATACTGTTCCAAAGGAGCACTGACACATCAGCTTCAGCCACGTGGTGCTAGAGATGTTGAAGTAATACATTCTCTAAAGGTTAACAAAGAGAAATTTGTACCTGAGGCGAATGACAATGACCATGACTATCAATCATGGTCAACCATCTGTCAGCTGATCTTTTTTATAGTAAATATACAGGGTATATTGTTTAACTGTTTTGAATTGTAACAAGATCCAAAGTTGCTTACATCTAGAAGTACAGAAGTACACACAAGCACTGCCATTAGGCATGTGAAGTTGTTACTATTGCTAAATATTCTCCTGACTCTGGTTTTGGGGCTCCCTGGTATTTCTGTGTGAGTTTTGCCATGCTACAAAGCAGACTGATCTACTTAGAAAAGCCTTGTAAGTCAATGACACAAGGTCAAGAGAGAAAACCTGGGCCGATTAGCCAGCATCAGTTTACATCCAGGAGTGCCAGGATTATGGTTTGCAGGATAAGAAAGTCTTTCAAACAGGACTGACCAGAACACTGTGCAGTCCAGTAATTCTGATGTGTGTATTTACACGTGAAAACTACTAAGAATATATCTTTTTCAATTGCAGCTATTAAAAACAAACAAAACCAGCAAAACCACAAACAAACAAACAAAAAAGGGCCTTTTTGGTTTTTGTTTTGTCTTCTCTATGTTTCAACCTCACATTCATCAAATTCCACACCTGATTGCTACCCAAGGGGGAAATAATCTCTAGTAGTTTTGTTTTGATATTTATCAAGACTGACATTCATGCTTTACTGGTGAAAAACCCTCCAAAAAGCCAGAATGACCTTAAAGGTCACCTATTGCATGGTAAGCAATGTCAAGTGCAATATTTATCTACAGAAACCACACTGTCTTCATGCACTTAAATGCAACTATGTACTCCTTTGCATTAACATTCCAACTGATCTATGTCTGCTACTCTTAAGGTCTGTATAGATCTCATCTACACCACTAAACAGATGTGTGTTTATATCTGACCACAGTAAGATTGTGCTGTTTATGCTTTATCTTTGGCCATCAACAGTTGAATTATGAAAACATTGAAGAAGTATGTTTGACTACTGTATCGCTCACAGGATGACCGTAATACATTTAGCTCTGACCGCACAAGCATTATTGTTTCCACGCAAGATAAATTCAACAATTATAGAACCTTATTTTTTGTATCCTGTAGCTTACAACAGGCTTGAATCATTGTATCACAAAACAGGGAAATCCACTACTTGTTCTGACTACATTTGTTTGCCTCAGCAATGCATAGATAACCACAGATGTGCAGGCATGACACAACTTTCAATACATATCTCATATATTGTCCATATAAATCTTGTATATGGTTTGTGTATCATCGATGCTGAATGCAATAAAATAATTTATTGATGCCCAACATTTATTGCATTGGCTAAATGCATAAAATTTTCTCCCAGCTCTGGCTTAGGAGTGATTTCAAACACAGCATAGGGTCCTTTGGGGCAATTCCTGAAAGATGTCAGCATTCATCCCCTTTCATCATTTTCTCCACAAACAGCTATGGAATATGAACATATCCATCAGTTCTTGTTGCCTTCACCACGGCAACACGGTCCATAATGGAATCATTTGTTGCAATGTATCACTTCAGTTGTGTTGTACTTATTACCCCTTTTTTTAATACCACGGGGCCTGCATTGCAAGAAATGCATGCTATCTCTTCCCCATTACCCTCGTCCATCATTCTGTATCAGCCATAGGCTTGTCTTCCCCTTATCCAGAGATCTAGATCATTTATGACTGTGTTAAAAAATAAAAGTCTTAGCTGGTCCCTCTCTCCACTGCAACAACAGCTGAGAAGCACAACAATTTTCCCCTTCTAAATATTGGCACAATTCACATATATTTTTAATAATACTTAAAGGAATTTTTTTAAAATTTAAATATACCAGAACTAGCCCTTCTCCTTCTAAATCTTGCCAACAAACTTTAATGGAAAAAATATTACACTGAGAACATTAATTTTATATACAACATAAAAGAATATATTTGAGACTCCAAAAGCATGGAAATACCTCTTGAAAGACCACAGGAACATACATTCTATTTCAAGAATCAGGCAATTAATGTCTAAGGCTAAGAATGTGCTTACCTATAGTCCTGGTGAGGGATGAAATCAAACATTTGCTCGCCTGATGTGAAGGAGTAAAACTCCTGCGGCCTTTAGACCAGACCTCTGATGATATTTCAAAGAATGTTGACACTTCTAACTCTCCCTTCCTGAAATTGTTTTCTAGAGCTTTCTTCTGAGTGTTATGTCAGGAACACCTGCTAAAATGGGAAAAAATACATTACTAAAAGTATTAAAAATGAGTAAAATGTGACAACTGAAAAAATACAGAATGTACATTCTGCAAACTCAGTCTATATCTGAGGAAGAAGTCGTACAATTTACAGCTCAGCATTGTTCAGCATTATCATTTCATTACTTCCTTGTCACAATTTATTAGGTTGTTAACTCAGAACATTCTCACCATGATCTTAAACAGTACAGTGCACCTCCAGACATCCTCACAGCTGCACAGCCTGTTTTGAAAGCCTTATTATGAACAGCAGCTCAGCCAGTGCCATGCCTTTTCATATTGCAGGCTGGCATGACACAATCCTCCCACTCCCAAGACATGAGCACAGCTTACTCCACCCACACTCCCAGCAGGGTGATGTGGGCCAGGTAGCTCAGTTTAAATGTCATTTTGATGAAAGCATCAAACTAAAGCTTGTAGTGCAGCTCAGTGAGGTGCTTCCATGCGTGCAGATCCTGCCTTTTGGCCTAGAGCTGCATCAGGTCCCAGAGCTTGCAGGCAGGAGACTGGCAGCCATGGATGGGGCCAGGACAGCTGGCCTCACACCTGGGACAAGCACTTGGGCTGCACCCGCAGATATTCACCCCAGAAGTCTCCCAGAGATGCAGGGGATTGAGTAGTCTTCCTAAATCAGAGCATTGTTTCAATTGTTTCAGTTTCCAGGAATTTAGACTTAAGAACTGTGCCATTTAAGGCAAACTGAAAGGGATGATTTTCCAGGAGTCTCACTGGGCAGATGGTGCCAAGAGGCTGGGAGAGTGAGGAGGGGGGATAGAGGTGGCCGCAGGGGAGTGAGGTCTGGCGCTGTTTTTCACAAAATCGGATTCATTACACGGTGTGCAATAAACCAATAATTATACACTCGAGAGAGAGAATGATTATTGATTTCAGAGTTGCACAATCACAAGTGCTTGGTGGTATTTCACAAATCAAGCACACAAATTATCAAAACTTTTCACTATTTATATATTTTATCAAATAAAGATATTAATATTCATTGGTTACAAGTTACATAGTTATCTTTTTAATTAGTATTGTATCTTCTATTGTTTAATGATGCTCTTGCTTCTCATGCTAATTAGTCCACAGGTTCAGTTTTTCTCTTCTTTTGGGTCGGTGGGTTTCTTGAGCTGGTGCCGTAAGTCAGTGGTTCCCACCTCGCACTGATAGAATTACCTTTCACACAGTTGGAGCTGATTCAGCACAGTTGTTGAGTTGTCTTCATTAGTTTCTTCTTTATCTTGGGAGTTCTGCCAGATGTCTTTGTGGTCCATAAGTATTGCATTCTTTGCATCCACTATAAGTGATAGATCCTTCTTTCCAAGCCTTGCTAACCTTCCCCTGGGCTGAGATCACTGAAGCACGCCCAGCCCTAAACCTTAACAAGGCAATTCTACCAACAAGTAATTCGTCCTTCTGACACTTGGACATCACTTAGAGATTGCTTGTTAGCTGCTATCTTACAGTCTTAAGTCGAGCAAGGGGAGATTTAGGTTGAACATTAGGTTGTATTTCTTCACAGAAAGAGTGCTTGGGAATTGGATTGGACTGCCCAGGGAGGTGGTGGAGGCACCGTCCCTGGAGGTGTTTAAGGAAAGGCAGGATGTGGCACTTAGTGCCATGGTCTAGTTGACATGGTAGTGTTGGGTCATAGGTTGGACTCGGTGATCCCAGAGGTCTTTCCCAACCTAATCGATCCCGTGACTCTGTGATCCGTTTTCACCGATTCAATCGCCTTTCTCGTCGATTAGCCTTGAAAGCACACGAAGACCAAACACGAAAGGACCCCCTCTCTGAAGAAAACGCTTACGCGTCCCACGTCTCTCCGCGGCGCGGGCGGCTGAGGGGAGCCCGCGTCCCTGCGGGGCCGGGCCGCGCCCGCCCGGGCCCGGCGCGGCGCTACCGCCGGCGGCCGCTGGGGGCTCCCGCCGTGCGGCGCGGCCCGTCCCGCCATTGCCGGGGCATGGAGGGCGAGAGCACCTCGGCCCTGCTCTCGGGCTTCGTCTTCGGCGCGCTCGCCTTCCAGCACCTCAGCACCGACTCGGACACGGTGGGTGCCGCGGCGGAGGGCCGGGGAAGCGGAGGGAGGGAGGGAGGGGCCGCCCCCGCCGTGGCCGCGCCGCCGCCGGGCCTCCCCCTGCCCGGGCTCTGCCGCCCCGCCGCGCCCGGGGGCCGCTTTGTGTGCGAGCGGCGGGGACACGGGGGGGTTCCTGGTAAACCGGGGGGCTGAGGTGGCTGCAGTGCCGTGTCTGCCCAGGAGCGAGCGAGGCCCGAGCCTGCTTGGCGGGCTGAGCATCCGCACAGCCGTGGGCTGCTCGCTGCTGAACGACAACGGGAGACACCCGAGGAGGATACATCACTACTTGTTTGTGGTTTTTATTTGTTTTGTTTGTTTGTTTGTTTTTTCTTTCGGAACTACGGGCTAATATTGAAAAATGTGTGAAAATCTAGTTTGTAAAAAAAAAAAAAAAAAAAAGGGAAAAAAATTCATTGTGACAGGTTTTTTTTTTCTTCTTCTGAAGACAGCGTTTGCACTTAATATGAAAGGGAAACTCTTCTTAGAATATCCTGAGTTGGAAGGGACCCATAAGGATCATCAAAGTCCAACTCCTGGCCCTGCATAGGAGGACTGCCCTAAAAGTCACACCATGTCCCTGTGAGAGCACTGTCCAAACACTTGTTGAACTCTATCAGGCTTGGTGCTGTGACCACTTCCCTGGGGAGTCTGCTCCAGTGCCCAACCACCCTCTGGGTGAAAAACCTTTTCCTTTATCCAACCTAAACCTCCCCTGACTCAGCTTCATGATGTTTCCTTGAGTCCTGTCACTAGTCGCAAGAGTGAAAAGATCAGTGCCTGCCCCTCTTCTGCTCTTCAGGAGGACATTGTAGACTGCAACGAGGTCTCCCCTCAATCCCCTCTTCCCCAGGCTGAATAGACCAAGTGACCTCAACCACTCCTCATACAGCTTCCCTCAAGGTCCTTCACCATCTTCATGTCCCTTCTTTGGACATTCTCTAATAGCTTTTTCTTTTTTTATATCTTTTTCTTATATTATGGCACCCAAAACTGCATAGAGAACTGGAGGTAAGGCCCCACCAGCACCAAGTACAGCAGGAGTGTCTGTTCAATGCTACTGTTAATGTGAACTTTTTTTTCCTCTTCCCCTCTACAGGAAGGTTTTCTCCTAGGAGATGTGAAAGGTGAAGCCAAGAACAGCATTACTGACTCACAAATGGATGATGTTGAAGTTGTTTATACAATCGGTTAGTCTGTCCATATTTTTAATACCTTGCTTGGTTTCAGGCAATGCTTTAGTTTTGAAAGAGGGCAGTCAAAAATTTGCAGCAGTATCAAAGCTGTGAGATCCCAGAATACATGTTGGTGTAAAAAACATTATTTTGCAACATTTTAACTGCTACAAAATTACAATATTACTGCAGAAAACACAGTCATTTAAAATAAATACTAGTTCTTAGTTCCTTGAATAGCTGCTCTTTACCAAGTATCTCCTCAGATTAAAGGTAATTTAGGGTTTAGACTCCTCCTTTGTCTTGGCCATAACACAAACTCTCCTGAACTACAGTTGCCCTGGAAAACTTGGTCTATTTCAGTGATGTGACCTGTAATGTATTAGCATTTATTACCTCATTTGGAGCTTATAAAATACTGTGTCTGAAGGTTGCAAACTGTTTATTAATTTCATTAAGCAGATGCCAGATGTATTTTTCCTTATAGTCTTCATGGGATTGGAGTGGATGTGCATTTTATACTGGCCCTTACATTTGTATACATGCATGCATACACAGTCAACTCCATTCCTTTCAAATGGAGTTATACAAAAAGAAACAGAACAAGGTAATGCAGCATGTGCCTTCTTGCCAATCTTCCTGAAAATCTGGTAGGGAGAAATTACCACCCATTCTCTAGTTTTACTCTAGGATACAATTAAGGTGTAACACTTTCCTTCATAGTCTCACAGATGAACCAAAAATGTGGGGAATTTTTTGCAGTGGCATTGATGGAGTTACCCAGAGTCTTGTCATTACATTATCATGGGCAGACTTAGTTGCTCCAATGTTTGGAGGTTTTTTTCAGTTAATTTGTGAAAATGAAAACAGTGGATACTTTAGGTTAATAAAAAGGATGTAGAATGCCATTAGATCACCTGCCATTTTTTTCTGGTTGTCAGCCTTCCATTTATCTACCCTGTGGGTTTCTGTTCTTCAGCCTCATCTTACTAATGGCATCTATGCCTTGTTGCAGAGTAACTCAAGGGAAATCTTTTGTATTACATACTACTCCTGTACTTTGACAGAAGGGAGAGAGAAATAAAATGCCCAACTTAGTTTTTCTTTTGACAAAATATACAAAAAATACACTTTATAGAAGTGGTTCCCTTTGCATTTGAAAAAATTATTTAGAATATATTTTTAAAATATTTCCTTTCTTCACCTTATTAGATGTTAATGCATTTGATTTTAAGAAATTATATAGAATTATCTCTTGGTCTTGCTGCGACTTTAATACTGATCATAGCACACAGAAGAATATGCATCATGAACTGATGAACCTGGTGTAATACTACTTTCACTTTCTAGATATACAGAAGCATATTCCCTGCTATCAGCTGTTCAGGTAAGAGTCTTAAGTAAACAGATACAAACCCCCTAACTGAACTCTTCAGGAGTTAAACTTATATTACATTACTTGAGAAAATCACCCAATGTAACTATAGTAGCCATATCAACCTCTTGGAATAACAGATGCAAAATGCCTTATGTTATTCCTACTTTTGTTCATTATGGCTTTTTTTTTTGGTGTTTGCCTATGTATATGGAAATAGAGATATGACATAGAGTACCTCCTGGTGAGCTATGATACCATATAAACTAAAGAATAATACCAACATACTGAAAAAAGCATTGCTTTACCAAAATAAAAAGGTGGCATCAGCCACAGGCTTCTAAGTGGGTCAGTAAAAGAAACACTTGTTGGCCCCATTGCAGGAGTAGTTTAAAAACCACTATGGACCTGATGGACCAGAGTTCCATCAGAGATGGGAACACAGCTGTGCAGATTTACACCCCCGTAAGGGGAGAATCAGTTTCCTTCTCAAGCCTTTCTGAAAAATTAATAAACCCGGTTGTTATTAGAAATGCATTTTATATCAAGCTGAAGGCATCTTATTGTTTTGTAGTGGAGAGAACACAGGTGCTACTTTTAACTCATATCCCAGTAGCACTGATGCCAGAACAGCATCTGGGCTGTACAAGACCACCTACAGAGCTCTCTGAATAATGAAATCACCTGCTCTGTCCCAGCAGAGAAGCTGTGGCAGCATACTGTAATGCTTAATTGGAGGGGAAAAACTAATACAGTGAGAAGATTGCCAGAATGCTAGGGAATAGTTAATTCTAAAGGAGCATTTTTTTCCCCTCTAATTGTCCTAATTTTCTTCTTCTAGCTTTTATAATTCTGCAGGAGAACTGAATGAACTTGCCCTGAAGAAAATACTATCAGGCTGTAAGAAGGTATTTTATTTTCAAATCTAAACCATACTGAGGAGCTCACTGAAATTTTGGAGGCTGTTCTGGATACCTTTTGCGTCAAGCTTTTTTTCTCTTCTCATTTTAAATCTTTTATCTAGTCTCATATGCTGCTGGTCAAGGCAGATGTATCATCTCTTCCCCCTTAAAAAACAGAATAGGTTATCTTTGGTATATATATGTAGGGTTTGCCTACATATACGTCACAACTTTATTTGTTCTTATTAATTTCCCAAGTGAACACTTCAAGTATCCCAAAGGAATTCTACCAGTTTCTAGCTTAAGATGAGTTGAGGTCAGCTCATTCAAATATTAAGCACCATTTGATCAAAAAAAATTAGTCTTCTCCACAGAGGAAATTTTCATAGGGGGAAGGTACAAGCTGAGAAGAAACAAACCACAAAATACCAGAACAAAGTTTGCAGAGTTTCAGCTTGAGCACAAGCTCAGAAACGGGCCAGTTCTACACGGTTTTGAAGGAAAGAAGTTGCCATACTGGAATTAGGCTTAGATATTTTAAAGGTTTCAAGTTAACTGCTCTAATATGTACATATCACCAAACAATTCAGACTTGTGACTTTGTACTGTATCAGTCTTCCTTCAGTGTGACACACACGGACAGCACAATTTAACACTAATAGTGACTTTTCTTCTGCCTACAGAGTGTAATAGGATGGTACAAATTCAGACGCAACACAGACCAGACCATGACATTTCGGGAGAGACTTCTCCATAAAAATTTGCAGTCACACCTGTCAAATCAGGGTCTTGTATTCCTTCTCTTAACCTCTAGTGTGATGACAGAAAGTTGTTCTACGTACCGACTGGAACATGCCTTACATCGGCCACAGGAAGGGTAATAATTGCTTTGTTTTCCACAGCATGTGCTCTAACTTGAAACAGTTGGTTTTTTTTACTTTGTTGCAGCTGAATTATTAACACTGTTTATTTTACTCTTGAAACTTATACATTAAATAAGATCCCTCCTTATATTGCTAGAGCACGGTTCACAGTTTACCCTGGGACTCTATTTGGGGATGTCCCTTTGTATCTGTAGTGCCAGCATCACTAGGCAGACACTGTCAGCATACTTATGTACATAAGCTGTTCTTGATCAAATTGGTTGTCTGTATAGGACTTCAACCATACATGGTGTTTATCTTGACATATTAAGATATTTAAATTGGTGGTAACCTCTGAAAATCAGAGGCACGCTGCCCACAGGCTAGGCTTAACAAGCAAGTATTGCATTATTGTGTATTCTGCTCAGAAATGGAAAAAAATACAGGCTCAGTGTCTGGTTGCTTCTGGAGTTTGCCTTTAGCCTCATCTATGTGTGATGTAATACATTTAGCAAGGACTAACTATACTGTAAACCTTCATCTGGGATGCTTAATGGTCAAGAACCTTTAACTATCAAAAAGAGACCTCTGAGATGTTAATAGATCATGTTTTCATACTTCTGCTTTTTAAGCCTTTTCCAGAAAGTCCCTTTGGTGGTTACCAATCTGGGTATGGCAGAACAGCAAGGCTACAGAACAGTGTCTGGCTCCTGCGTATCTTCTGGCTTTGTGAGAGCAGTAAGACAACACAGGTACAATGCCATACTGACTGACAGCTGTTGCTTTGTGTTAACATAACTATACTTACCTTTCTATAAAAGCATTTAAGTGTTTTTGCAAATGCTACAGCTATATCCTGCTCACTTTTTGCCCTCTATCTGCAATTATTTAGCATTGCAACACATTTGGAAACTAGTTCAGTCCCATACTCTGCCTGGAGAGCAGCTGTCTGTCTCAACATAGGCACCTGCTACTGGAGCTCAAAATGCTTATTTATTCATTAAAGCTCCTACTAAGTAAGCACTAGGATAACTAACTTGCAATTATATAGTTACATTCTTGGCCCGCAGGTCAGAGTTCTTTCACGAAGATGGATCCTTGCAAGAGGTTCATAAGATAAATGAGATGTATGCCACCTTGCAGGAGGAACTGAAGGTAAGCCAGGCATACCTGCCTCACCTTCAGCAGTACTACAAAACTGAGCCAAGCAGGGGGTACAACATCTTGCACTACATGAGAAACAAACCTGTGTCTTGGAAGGGCATCTGAAAGATCAGGGAGTTGCATTTACTATCAGCAGCTGCATGCTGTGTTGTCAAAGTTGAAGACTTAAGGTTCCATTTGATAAAAGTACACCGATAAATCTTCCAGTTCACAAATAAATTCTCACAAGAGGATTATTTTTAAGGAGTACTACCTGTAGTTTGTTAGATCTGCTTTGCTTAGATGGGAGCAAATAAAACATCCTGCACCTCATTCAACACAAGGTTTGTGATCTCTAAAATCCACCTGAGGTTCATTACTTAAGCTTTTTACTACTTCGTGTCCAACTTAATCATGGGTACCTTTAAGGATTTTGCAACAAGGTTAAAGTCAGCTTCTGTGAATACTGTTAATCTGATCAAATGCTCTTTTCCTTGCAGAAAATATGCTTTACAGTAGAAGTCAGTGAACGATCTGTAGAGAAACTCTTAGCAGAGGTGAGGCAATTAAAAGAAGAAATAAAGAGGAAAAAGCAACAAAGTTGTTCAGGTAAGTTAACCAAATGTAATGCCAGCTTTAGACTTCCAAGGTTTGCTCAATGGGCAGAAGCAGAAAACACTTCTGAACTTGAGGCAGCTGAAACAGCAGTGGTAGGAGTGTGTAAGAGGCTTTGCAACTAACTTTCTTTTTTTTTTCCCCAGGAGAAGACAGGGACTACACAGGAGAGCCAAAGGAGAATGTTCTCCTTTGTCAGGCACTGCAAACATTTTTCCCCAACTCTGGACTTCAGACATGTATTGTTTCCTTCAAAGGCCAACAGATATCCAAGAACTGCTGTAACGTTAACCATAATATTAATGTCACGGACAAACTGACTCTCATGGTAGAGGAAAGAGACTTCACTGAATTTGAAACAAGACATCTAACCAAGCGTAAAGTCAGAGGGACCACAACAGTATCAAAGTCATTCAAGAAATCCAGAACATTGCAGCTTCATCGAGAATCACCTGCAGACCCAGAGGACAGTGACCAGGACAGGAAGCTTACGCTGAGCAGCACTGAATCAGACGAGGATGTGTTGGAAAAAAATAGAGACACAAATGAATACCCACACTCTCCTACTTTCTGATCTGTTAATGATTTGTCAGATGACTTCACACCAAAAGCTACTGCCAGCATATTCAAGTGATGTATCAATTTATAGCACTGCAGGGATGTATATAACATAGTGCATTTTTGCAAAACATACAGGGTCTGTTTGGGGTTTTTGTCCAGTGCATGAATCCTGTTCAGCATAACAACATCCAGATGACGTTCCCTCATTTTGTCTTCCAGAGTTCCATCTGTAGTCTCTCTCTCAGGGTTTAAAGACTATGCCAGCAGGATGCTATCAGTCAGATAACCACATACTGTCTCAAACTAATACAACTTCAAACTGCTGTTGAAGAAGCAGTACTACCCTTCCCTCAGCAGAAGCTCTTGCAGGCAGCACCAAACGAACACAGATAACTTAATTAGCAGTCTACTTCAACTGCCACAATTTAAATACTTTTAATTTATCCTTAGGAAACCAGTAGTTGTTTATTTCCCCCATCTTACAATCTAGAGAGGGAAAAAAAACGGCCACCTAAAGTTTAGCAAGACCTGTGAGTGCAGAAAGGGGTCCAGGAAGCTGCCAGTTTCTATTACTGCCTTAATATTTCATACTTGCTTCAGACAATAAATTTTAGACACTTTATAAAATTAATAAAAACCCAACTGACACCCACCCCTCAGTCAACCACGCACTATGCTAGAAAACCACATTTCCAATAAGCAAGTATATGAACATGAAACACAGTTTTATTGTTTATTTCTTTACAGTATATTACTCTGGATACTTGATATTACATATCTTGGGGTCTGTGAGAAACTGTGGGTTCTTAAGCACAACTGGCATAAATCCTGTAAAAAGATAAGATGGAGGTATTCTTAATAGAAAAGTAAGCTTGACTTAGAAAACTCAGAAGCAGAATCATACTTACCAAATACTTGAGCTCTTTTAATGGCTTTTGTAACTTCCCTCTGCTTCTTGTGGCACAAGCCTAAAGAGATGAATTATTTTCAACACTAAGCAAGCCATTAGTCTAAAGGGTGAAAGGGATATTACTGATAATTCCCTCTATTTTTTTCTAAGTCTTCCTAGAAAAATGCACATGGGATATTACTGTTTCATTCAAAATGCACATAATTAAGGGATATTTTCATTCCTTGATGCAGGCTACCAAGCCAGAAGAATACTCTTACAAAATGTATAGAGTTGGTAGCAATTACTTTTGGAAAGACTGCTGAAGCACAGTTACTTAGACTCAGAAGAACATGAATATTAACCAGTAAATTATTTAATTTAATATTTCACATACCTGTTATATGTCTGCCATAAATGCAGCCAGTATAAGGAGAAACAAACTGGGAAAGAAGCTACTTAAAAAAGAAAATTACAGTCAGTTTAAGAACTTTTTTTTAGATGTTTACTTTATGTTACTACTTGCACTCTATTTTTCTTTTTTTTTTCCCATCTGTTTTCACAAAACACCTAAAGAAAAAGTAGAGCTTGGAACTAGACTATTTTCTATGGTATAACATTTAAGCTGTATGACAGCTGGATAGTAACCAAGGACTCTATCTGGTAAATGACAAAGTTGTCACACTAACACACAGAACTAGTAGCTTATAACTAGCTAGCTTATAACTACATTATCTGATCCTTAATCTGCACACATTTTCAAGTCTTAAATCCCTACACATATAGATGGATTTTTATGTTTTGGTTTTTGGGGTTTTTTTTTAGTTCTTATGGACTTCCTACACACACACATTTAAAAATAGTAAACCACTTACCTTCATCCAAGGACATGAGTTTTCAAACTCACCTGCACATTCTTATAGTCCACATTTATTTTACATAAGATGCATCTTTTTGGAGGCTCCTTATAGGGGTTCTCCATTTGTATGGGCTGAAATTAGAGAATTATTAACATCTTTAAGCTTCACCAGAAAATAAAGAACATTTGTTAGTTTTAATCCTTCAGGCAAGATATACCTTGAAACCAAAAGAGATATTTAGGGACATCACTGAAGTCTTTAAATAACTTCCCTAATTCTATTTCCCTAACACACTGATTGGTACAGAGCCATCTAAAAGACTTCTCACAGGTAAACCGCCTTTTATATTTTAGTAATAATGATACTGTAACAAGTCCCTTCAAAGGGGACATTCAGTGACATGGTGCTTACACCTTTTACTAGGAAGTCAATATCTGCAGAAGCTGGTAGAGAGGTCTGATAAGTCACAAGAGTCTTTTTTTTTTAAAGAATTTCAAAGCAAGTGGCCTGAGGGAGCTCCTGTCTGCTCACACACTTTTAAAGAGAGATTCCCAAGGACTGAAAGGCTCCTCAAGCTTCAGAATACACACAACACCAAATCCTCACAAGAAATGAGAGAAAGATGTTTCATTTTTCACAGAATTGTTAGGGTTGGAAGGGACCTCTGGAGATCATCCAGTCCAACACCCCTGCCAACGCCGGGTCATCCTATGGCTCAGGAATATGCCATCCAGGTGGGTTTGGAATGTCTCCAGAGAGGGAGACTCCACAACCACCCTGTTGTGGCAGCCTGTTCCAGTGCTCTGCCACCCTCAGTGTACAGAAGTTCTTCCTCATGCTGAGGTGGAACTTCTGTGTTTCAGTTTATGGCCACTGTTCCTTGTCCCGGGCACCACCAAAAAGGGTCTGGCACCATCTTCTTGGCACCTGCCTTTGAGGTATTTATATGCACTTTGCAGGCACAGGTTGGGCAGAGAAGCAATATTTTAAGAAGCTTTTGCTGATGCCAAAACCCACATATTTTTCTAATGTAAAAACAAACCTAATGCGCTCCCGTAAGTCTTTTTCTTAGCTATATTCGGGAAACCAGCTGGTGCTACCAAAGGTTTTGCTCCACACTTGGGTTTACTGAGGCAGCAAGTTTAAGGGCTACAGTTAGGATACTGAAATACAGATCAATGGTGCCTTAACCCTCAGCGCCCGGTGATCTCCTGCTCTGTAACACAAAGGATGCGCAGCCAGCAGAGCATTTTACAGAAGCGGGCTGAAAACGGAGAGATGGGATATTTCAGCGCGGCCGAATCCCGTCCTGCGCAGGGTGGGCGTCGGGACGGGGACGCTCGGGGAAGCCTCACCTGGTCGGGGTGCGCGGGCTGCGCCTGGGGCTGCCCCTCGTGCTGCAGGCGGCGCGGCCGCGCCCACAGCGCCGCTGCAAGGGAGAGAGCGACACGGTTAGCGGCGGGACGGACGGGACGGGGGAAGAAGGGAGCGGGAGGGACGCACCGGGAACCAGCCGGCTCCAAGCGCCCCGCGCCGCCGCTGCCCGCGCCGCCATGACAGCCGCCGTGAGCCGGCCGCGGCCGCCGCAGCGTCACTGCCGCCGTGGCGGGCTCCTGCCGGAAGTGCCCGCCGCCGCCTCATGGCGGCCGCGCCCCCCCCGGCCGGCTGCGGGTTTCCTCGCCCTGTCCCGCCGCGGCCGTGAGCCGGGGCTCCCCGCAGCCCCGGCCGCGGGGCGCCGCCTGGGGCTGGGGCTGGGGCTGGGACCGGGACCCGGCCATGGCCGAGCCCGGCCTCGCGGTGCGCAGGAAGAGCCGCCCCAGCTCGGAGCGCAAGAGGAGCCGCGCCGCGGTGCAGCCCAGCGTCGGCGGCTCGCCGGTGGCTCGCAAGAGACCGAGCGCTGGCGGCGAGGGGTCACCCCCGGCGGAGCCCCCGGTAGGGGATGTCGGGGTCCTAGGGCTGGTGTCGGGGCGGGGGAGCTCCATCTGGGAGGGTGGAACGTCCCTGGCCGAGCCTGCGTGGCGTGTGTCGGGAAGGGCCGTGCTTTGTACGAGAGGGGATGATCGCGTTTGGCTTTGCCTTTAAAAAAGCTCATCTACATCAGCTCCCTGGGCAGGCTTCCGTCCTGCTTTTAGGTTTGGTTTCACTGAGTCGAGGTATGTGTTCCTTTAGAATGCGACCTGGGTTTCCCCCACAGAGAATGTCAGAAAAGACAATTTTCTTTTAAGCTGGGGATTATTTGCATCTGATGTGTGTGCTGCACAAGTTATGCTGCTTCCTGTGGCGTTGCTTCAGAGTACTGATGCTCACTGTTGTGGTTTTACAGTACTGTAACGACAGTGAAGAAGACATGTTCGGTGACTATGACAGCTTCTGCGGAAATGATTCTTTCCTAGCTCAAGTGGATGACATCGAACACAAGTACCTGCAGGATAAAAACACGGATGTGAAAGCAGCTGGAGAAATCACAGCTGGGAATCTTCAGTTAGGAATTCACCAAAAAAAACAAGACAACTTCTCTGCTTCAGAAAATGTGTCTGTCCCTAAAGCTGAAAAAGAGGGTTCTTGCCGAGTGCGTGACAGAGACCTGGTGGATGGCAATAGAGAACCAGCTGAATCTCTTTTAGGCGACTTGCCATCATCACAACTTTTGTATTTTGAGAAAATGGATAAACTTTCTTCTGCTTTTAGGACGTCTGCGGACTCAAAAGGGAGGAATGAGTGTGTGAATTCTTCCTCCGACAAAATCAGGAGCCCATCGTCTTATTGTGCTGATGCTGAACACAGGAACAGACTTATGGACTTTTCCTTGGACTCCAAGTGTGTTTTATTGAAAACGGAGAGTCTTAAAGATCACCTGAAAAGTGCTATGACTGGAAATGCCAAAGCCCAAACTCTGCAGGTCTCTAAGACCAAGCAGCTTAAAGAAGCTGTTTTATCTGAAGAGATTTTTGTTGCTAGGAAAGCTATTGAATCTTCTTCTGTTGATATAGGCCCTTTTTATGGATTACCTAGCAAAGTTAAAGATTTATTCAGACAACTTCGAGGGATTGAAACGCTTTATGGTAGTGTAACTAATGATTTGTTGGAAAAAAAAGTGCTAGTGGAGTGTTGTCTCTTTCACCTATTACCCTGTAAAAATATATAAGGTAATTTTTGATGTAAACCATGTTGGAAAATAGTTGTTTTGGTTTTGTAAATGGCTGTCTTCGTGTTTTAGATGGGTGGAAAAGGTTCATATGGCTTATAGAATAGACTGTGGAAGGCTCCACCACTTAAGACTTCTAGTGATTTATTGAGGGAAAGTCCTCAAACGCTGGGCTTAAAGTATTCCATGGGAAACGTAGGCATTTTGCTATTGGCCATCATGCCCCTGGGATTCCTAATAGTTCCTTTTTGGTTTTTCAGAGTGGCAGCATGATTGCTTAATGTTAGAATCTCTACAGCAAAGAAAGAACTTAATATACTCATTACCAACCAGTGGTGGAAAAACACTGGTAGCTGAAATAATGATTCTCCAAGAACTACTCTGCAGGCAGAAGGATGTTCTGATGATCCTGCCATATGTTGCCATTGTCCAAGAAAAGGTCTGGATACAGTGTTTCTGATACTTCTTTGTTTGATACATATCTTTTCTGATATGCTTTGTCACCTTGTTACTTGGCTGGTTTTCAGCAAGTCCGTGATTTTTATGAGTATATGGTGGGAAGTGAGTGAAGTGACTGACCCCTCCTAGATGCTGCTCTGAGGGTCAGTAATTTTCTAATGGAACAGTCATAAATCATGAGGTGAGGATGCTGAGTTGTAAAGTAAATTATATATATATATATTTATATATAAACTGCATTTTGAAATAGTGGTGCTTTTTTGATGTTTTGTATATTTCTGCAGCCCAAGAGCTGAGCTGTCCAACTTGCTAAAGAAATGGTCTTGAAATAAAAGCTATCATTTTTTGGTGTAAAGGGAAAGTTAATTTTAGGGAGCAGATGAAACACAACCTGATAACATGTGCAGACACTTCAGTTTTGCAGCTGGAGTAGGTAGTCATAGCTAATATGTTTTCACTAATTCAAGCCATTGATTGTGGTCTGGATTGGTTATTTGTGCGTTGAGTTCTTGAGGCAGCTCTGAAATCCAAAATGAGCATGTGTTTGTTCTCTGATGGATTTTTTTTCCTTACAGATTAGGGGTTTATCAAGTTTTGGGGTAGAACTGGGTTTCCTGGTTGAAGAATACGCAGGAAGTAAAGGAAGACTTCCACCAATCAAAAGGAGAGTAAAAAAATCTCTTTATATTGCTACCATAGAAAAAGGACATGCTCTGGTGAATTCCTTAATCGAAACAGAGAGGATCAGTGACCTCGGCCTGGTTGTAGTAGATGAGGTATGACACAAGACTTACTCAGATTGATCATATATTACATACTTCTAATATACAATAATTAGCAAAACAAGTTATTTGATTGCTTGGTTTTGGTTTGAGTGTTCATCATGAAATTACTACTACTTAACTAAGTTTATTCTGCATTGGTACATAATTCTGTAAAATTACAAGTTATTTTTCTTTAACTGAAGCACTTGTTGCTGTATCAGAACAATTCTATATCAAGAGATCTACTGTGTTAGTGTTTGATAGTGAATTCCTAAATGATTACTTGTTACTTAGACATCTGTAAGAGATTACAAAAAAGCATAAATAATTTTAGTTGTATGGAATGTATTTCATGAATCCCAGAACTTAGCTCCTAAGTGTGAAACTGTGAGACTTTGTGTCTGGTATTAATAACAACTCAATGGAACATTAAAAAAAAAAAGAAAAATATCAAGTAACAATTGGCTATAAGAATTGCCCCTTATTCTTCTTTTTAGTGGTGTGGCTGAGTTGTGCTACTAAGGGTTGATTGTGGGGTTAAATAACATGTGTAGGGGGGCTGACTGAACTTACTTTAGCACAGGAGCTTCTAAACAGAAGGCAACTGAAGCATTAAATTCTACTCTTTCTGGGAGCTGCCTGCTAGAAATTTTTCTACACTGAGTGTTGATTAAAACACATTTTGTTGAAAATTGTTTTTGACTGGTGAATACAAGGATCTCCACGCTGACTTTTTACTGTCAGGAGTTAACTGTTTGGGTCGATTATGTCTAGTTAAATGGAAGGTAGATCTTGTCTACGTTTCGTCTTGATTCTTAAATGTTGTGTCAGTGAGGTTGTACTTCTGGAAGGAGCTTAGCAGTCAAAATTTACAAGCAGAAGTCCAAGAAAGAATCCTGTAGTATTTGGTTAGGTCTACATAATTTGTTGGGGGTATTTTAGGTTGGTGATTATTTTTTTTTTTTTTGAAGAAATACTCTTAACTCAGTAACATTCTTGCATTTTATTTTTCCCTTCTGTGCACAGCTGCATATGCTTGGTGAGGGAAGTCGTGGAGCAATACTGGAAATTACTCTTGCAAAAATCCTTTACACCAGTAGTAAGTCATGGCTGCTGTTAATGTTATTAGTGTATTGTAGTGATGGCATCTCTAGAGAGGAATCATACTTTTGCTTTCTGGATTTGTGGTATTCTGGCTGCTTTTGAAAAACACGCGATGACTCCATGCGGTAACAATGTTCATTGACCCTCCAATGATGGGTTGGGTGTTCTTGAAGCTTTTTTGATACTTCTCTGCAAAATCCTGAGTATTGTCAATTGTCTTCTATTTATTTGTAGGAGCCCCTAACCATTCCAGTTAAATGATCTTTTTTAATGTTTACATCTCAGGTAGTATTTCTTAGCATAGATCCCCCTTCAATCAGGCTACTTTGGTATTTATGAAAGACTAACGATGAAGAAGCAGGCCTATGAAGTAATTACTGAGCAGAAGTGTTAAAAATTGGTCATGTGACAATAAATTCCTCTCAACTTGTGTTCTACAGGAAACACACAAATCATTGGAATGAGTGCAACGTTAAATAATGTTGGAGACCTGCAGAAGTTCCTGCGAGCAGAGTACTACACCAACAATTTTAGACCGGTCTGTATACAAGATACCATAACTAGTAAGGAAGATATTTGGCTGTAAAATTACAGTAAATCTTTTTAGCATTGTATCACATCTTTTTTGCTTAATTTCACAGTATAGTGTAATATAATTCCATTCTATTGCTTACAGTTGTTACCAGTGCAATAAATTTCACTATGCACTTCTAAATGCACAAATGCAAGAACCTTTATGTTGTCCTGTTAAGACATTTGTGTCACTTTAACTAAACCAATTTTTAAATTATAGCTACTGATATAAATCAGTTCTTTTGATGTAACTAGAATCTCTGCTACTGGTGCTTGTATGCTATCAGGACAATGGTTTATTAATAGTTTATGGGATACAATATTTATCATTCTTCATCATGATTCAATGCCTTATCAAGGCAGATAATTAAAACAATTAACTTATCCAGAAGTTCTTGATGGGGTGAAGTGTGTGCTTGTGTATATGTAGGTATATATGTCATGTGATGCTTAGAGAAAAGCTTTAGCTGTACATAAGCAATAGCTTGAGAGAAAACTTAGTAATTTAACTGAAGTTTCTGTTTA